TATTATATATATATGCAAATATGGGCTCCTTGCAACTTGTTTTGTCATACCCCGTGCCACCCTGGGACTCTGCCAGCACAAGATCATCACCAGACACAGCCCCTTAACTTTGAATTTGTAGAACTGTGAGGCAAAGTAAACCCCTTTGTAAAGATATTAAGTTTCAGGTATTTTCATTGTATTAATAAAACTGTACTGATACATATCAAGATTATCAAAACAGGTCCAGACAGATATTGATAAATGTAAAATTATCAGTTCTGTAGAGTTGTATTTTTAAGATCTGATAAAACAAAAATACCCAATTATATATAACTTACAAAAGGGATATAGAAAGCACACAAAAAAATTGAGCTTATGGTAGAAAAATATATCTCAGAAAAATATTAACAAAATAGATACATTGGTATTGCAGAAGTATCAAATCCAAGATAAAATGCAGTTATAGAGATATGCAGGTCATTACTCTTAATAAAAGGAATAACCCTATCAAAATTTCATAAATCATAAATTGGTATACATACAAAATGTAGCTGTCAAATATATGAGGAAAACTGACAAAATTATAAAAAATAATTAAAATCAAAACCCTAATGAGAATTATTTCTCCCACTCATTAGAAACTGATGGTTCCTGGGAACTAGCATTAAGGCCATAAAAGATTTTGAACAGCAAAATTATTAAGTATGATCATGGTTTTATGTTTGGATACAGTTTTCTTTCAAGAGAGAATATATTTTCATTCAAATAAAAATGGAGCATTTTTAAGAATATGTTGTAGGCCATAAAAAAATTACCAATTGTTTTAAAACTTTTCAGACTACTTTAGAACAAAATTAAAGGAAGGTACAGAGATTTCACATATGTGGTATATTTTGTTACAACTGATGACCCCACTTTAACACATCATTATAACCAAAAGTCTGTCATTGACATTGAGGTCCACTTAGTCTTACTCATTCTACAGCGTTACACAAGTGTGTAATAATATGTATTCATCATTGTAGTATTACACAATGTTTTTTCACTGCCTTAAAAATTCTCCCTGCTCCTCCTGTCTGTTGAGTGAGATGATAATCTATAGGACTTTCCTAGCTATGTTTTATCAAGTTGAAGAAGTTCTCCTTTATTCCTAATTTACTGAGAGTCTTTAATATGAGTGGAAGTTGGATTTTGTCAAATGCTTTTTCTGCATCTACTGATATCATCATGTGATTTTTTTTCTAATTTTAGCCTGTTGATAATGGATTACATTACTTTATCTTCAAATGTTAAACCAACCTTGCACTCTTGTGGTAAATCACTCTTGGTCATAGTGTATAACTTTTTGTATATCTTTAAGTCATATATATAATAATTATTATTATATATCATTATTATATAATTATATTATTATATAATTATATGTATTATATATAATTTTATAATATATATTTAATATTTAATTTTTTAACCAGGGATCAAACTCAGGATCTTGTACTTACAAGGCAAGCATGGTGTCATTGAGCTAAACCCCTGTTCGCTAATATTTTGTTGGAGATTTTATGTATGTGTCCGTGAGAGGGCCAGGGATGTAGTTCAGTGGTGCTTCACCTCCCTGGCAAGCACAAAGTCCTGAATTTGATTCCTGGTACCAGAAAAAGAGGGGGGAACGTGTTCGTGAGAGATATTGTTCTGTAGGTCCTTTGTTTTGTAATTTTTTTCATTTTTGCCTCAAAGAATGAGATATGAAATATTCTTTCTGGTTCTACCATCTGAAAAAGACTCTAGAGAACTGGTATTGTTTCTTAAATATTTGGTAGACTTCTCCAGTTAACCCATCCAGGCCTAGTGTTTTTTGTTAGGGAAGATTTTTAATTATAAAATTTTACCAATTTTTTTAAAATTGTTATCATAAAGACTACAGTCTTTAGCCACAGTGCAAATTAGTAAACAACAAAACAGTGAAAATAAACATATTAAATTGCTGTGAGAATTTTTTGTATATCATTTATAAATACTGTCTTAAACATAAGTAGTATAGAATTTGTTTTTAAAACAATTTTCTCAAGAGATAATTTCTAACAGCCATTACATTAATTGACAAACTTTCTTTGCTGATAGAATATAATTGTAAAACTCCAAGCTTTTGCCTCCAAAATTATAGGTTGTGATTATATTTCTTTAAAAGCCAACTATTTGTAGGGTAGAGATTAAAACAAAAAGTTGTCTCTCTGGCATTTAAATTATAGATGATACAAGACAGATTTAAATATATACAGAAACTTTGTATTTAGCAGAGGTAGCACATATATCAGTGGGGAAAGAGTTCCAAAAGTAGTACTAAATTACCCATAAAAGAAATAAAATTATGGTCCATATATGATAATTGGAATTCTAGATGAAAATAGAACTAAATGTTTGTGAGATAAGCACTTGTTTAGTATGTGTGAGGCCTTATAGTCAATGCCTAGCACAACAAAAATAAATATTTCACAACATTAAATTATTTTTATAATATATGAAAGGAATTATAATTCTTTTTGATTGAAGTATAAATTAATAATCCTATTTTGGAGAAATATTTTGTAATATGTACATTTTAAGGATTTGCACAGATGTACACACACACATACATATTACTCTGTAATAGTAATTTTCTCTAATAGTAATCCACATAAGTGCATCTTTACGGTAGCCTAGCAAGTACCAGTGGCAAATGAGAAATAACATAATCACCAATTGTCTAATCAACCACTGGACAGCAGATAAGTAAATTCTGGTAAATTTACATAGTAAAATACAGTACAGAGTAAAGATGTATGGAGCAGAGCCACAGTAATCAATATGGGTAAATCCCATTAACAATGTGAATTTAAAAAATAAATTTAAAAATTATATTCCAAGTATTGTTTTGAATGCATAATTTCAGAAACATAGTTGAGACATAACCCATCATGTTCAGAATAGTGGCCACCCTTGTGGAGAAGAGTAGAGAATGTACATTGATTGGTGTTATATTGTGAAATTCTATTTTGTTGATTGGTATTTTATGTCTTAAAAGATTGTGGATGAAATAATGTTTTATATTGAACCTGGGCGATTATATTGGTATGTAAAATCACTTCATTTCCTTATTCACTTTAAACATTGACTTGTGGAATAGCTGGCAGAAAGAGAAGAACTGGAAAAAGTGAAGAATTAGTTCTTTTATGTGTTCACCCAGCCCATTGAAATTTTAGTTCTAGTTTATTCACTATAAGAATGTGACTGCTGGTTAGGGAGTTAACTCAAATAACTTGCTACTTGTCTGAATTGTTTTGGCTTGGATTTGATCTTAATATTTAGAGACAGAAGAACCCTTAATTTTTACCTGAATTTCATTTTGTTACTCTTGATATGTAGTTGTAAGAAGTGACATATTATGAAAAAGGCATCCAGCTGGAAATAGAAGTCCATTAATCAGTTATATAAGTAATACGCTTAATGGTTTAAATCAATAAAAAATAAATGATAAAGTTAAATATATATAGAGAGAGAATGATATAAGTATATAAAATTCACTCATTTCATCACTGATTTGTGGTATAAATTTTTTTCCCTTAAATTAGTATGGAAAGAGTTTTTATTGTATACAGCAAACTCAACCACCTACATAAACTCTACTGTTATATTAGTTGAACATCTTTATTAGCCAGGTGCAGTAATGCATACCTGTAATTTCAGCACTTAGGGCTGTGGCAGGAAGATTGCTTTGAGTGTGAGGCCAGCCTGAACTACATAGCAAGAACCTTAAGTATACTGTATAAACAAACGTACAAATTCCCTATGATGAATGTAATCATTGGGTATATAAAAAGTACAAATAAAATTAATTTTTAACCCCCCCAAAAATTAAAGTTAGACACATGCTCTTAACACAATAGTAATTTTTTAAAAACTTTCTGTATTTACTTGGAAAACACACTCGTACAAATGGTCATTGAAAGGAAATATCATCTAATTGTGTGTGTGTGTGTGTGCTTTGTTTTTTGGGTACTGGGGATCGTACTCAGGACCTTGCTCTTGCAAGGCAGGTGGCAGAATCACTGAGCTAAATCCCCAGCCCCAGAGATCATCTACTTTTAAAATATAATTATTTATAACCATATGCTGCTGTTGAGTAAATTGAGTATGTAAGTATAGCAGTCTACTACTCTTCTACTTTCTAGTCTTACTCTTTATGTAAGAAGTTTAGAGTTTAAATAAAATAAGGGTAAGTCAGAAAATTTACAGTGCTCAATGAATAAACTAGAATAACTAAAATACCAAGGATTTAAATGTTATGCCTTTGAAATTATACCTTTTTCCATCCTGATTATAATTCCTGTAAAAGGAGAAAGAAAATGAAGCAGTGCATCTTGTTGTTGATGCCCAATTGAAATGGGCTAAAACTTATTGTTCAAGATCAAGAAAACTGGTTATCCAAAGGGAATAGGAACATAAATACTAGAAAAGTACATTTTTTTAGGATCAAAGAACTTTAAAAAATATACCCACTGGTTAACTAGGTGAAGAGGGACCAAGGAAGGGGAATGTGTCTTTAAAGTTCAGTCTGGCATTTATATGGAGAAATGTAACCTTTCTTGGCAGGTTTAGATCCAGATAAGCATCTTGGAAAATCCCTGGATGAAATGGAGCCCTATCTCTTAGAGGTAAAAATTTATGCAATTTCCAAAATAAAAGTGTATAAGAGAAAAAATGCCACACCTGATAGGATTATAAAAATTATTTTTACTTTAGAAAAATTCAAATTTATTTGCCATCTATTTTGTGAAAATGTTAAAGTTCTAATAGATATGACAATATGTTTAAAATTATGAAAATTCTTACCAGGTTTTGATCCAAATACAAGAGTAAATAAGTTATGCATAAAAGGAATTGCTCTGTTAAATTTGCCTTTATTCAAGTGGACATTGTATGACATATAGAAAGTATCATGATCCTAAGTATCTCATATTCTTGTAATCAGATACTTTGCCATCAGGAATAGGCATAGAAACTTCCTTTAGAGATTATCTAATCTATCTTCTTCCTTTTTACCTATTAGGAATTTCATTGGAAAGTAGTAAGAAAAATATTCCAAGCTTTCAAATGATCCTGTTTAACCCTTGTATTGTCAAATCCCTAATGTGTTCTGTACATAGAAGATTCAGTTTTCACTTACTTTTTTCTGTTAACTATATCACATTACAGTTTTGAGACAAACACTGTAGTAGGGCAGTGACTCATAGTTACACTATACAAAATTTTTATTCTTCAATCTTGATTAAAAAAAGAAAGTAACTCTACTTTCATGAAAGAATTGAATTCCATTGATTAGTTGTTTTCCTATACTGTACACTTAGTTCATTGATTTTGTTTCTGGCCGTTGCATATACTATTTCTGTAATATAACCTGTTGGCAGTTACACTGTGATATTATGAGTTTCATATTTTCTTGGAGTTATTTGTAATTGATTTTTTATGGGTTATCAATGTGTATTAAATGACTACCCTATGCCAATGAGATAGCAAAAAATTAAGAGAAAAATGAAATATTAATATAATTATGACAATTATGTTCAGTTTCTAAATAATTTTGTTTTTTATTTAACTCAGTCTATAAGACATGATTGCTTTATGTGTTCTGATAGGACCCCTCTTGCAGCAGGTTGTTTTATGGTCACTATTACATCTTCAAATCTACCGATATGTTCGACTCTGTTCACTACCACCTGTCTAAATTTAGCTTCCACCAAAGCAAAATAGATGTACTCTATAATGACATCAGATTTTGGAAGGAGAAAGAGAACTTACTAAATGAGAGGCTGTGGCTTTGCCAAAGTAAGTTTTTATAAATTATCTCCAAAACTTGAAGTTATGAGTTCAAATTTAGACATGTGGAAGGAGACTTTATATAGAAAATGCAAGCAAGCAGGGTAAGTGTAGATAACATTAATATACTATATATTTCAAAAACCTAGAAGAAAGGATTTTGCTATTTCCTACCATAAAGATAACTTTTTAAAGAGGTAGATATATTTTATTTTGTTTGAACATTACATAATTATACATGTAATGAAACATCAGATTATTCAATTCAATGCTTTCATTTAAAAAGTAATTTTTTAAAATCTACAAGAAAATAAAGAAAAGACAAATAAGTTTTTGGGGAGTATCAAGATGTTGGTTTTCAACAGGACTCCCTGGACCCATAGCACAGGAGGTAACAAAATTGATCAATCAGGCTCTAGAAAAATTCAAATCAGAAATAATTTCCCAGCTAGCCAGAGAGATGATGAGCAAAATAGAAGTCATGATTCGAGACTCTAGAGCAGAAACTGACAAAAAAATAGAAGAGCTCAAGACTGTGATAGAAGCCATGAAGACTCAGCATAAGAAAGACATGGAAACAATGAATGCCCAACAGAGGAAAGAAATGGAATCCATAAAACAGATTCAAACAGATATCCAGGAGATTAAAAACTCTATTGAAAGTGTACGAAACAGAATAAAAGATTGCGAAGATAGAATTTCA